ATAGTTCTTTACTAATCCAACTTTCCTAGCAGCTAAACATATCACCAGAGCTCATTGCTAACACCCCTTCTATCCTCTATCTCCATGTACTTTTAGTCTGCAGCAGAAATCCAGCCATTTCAGAGGATGCTCTTGCTTAGAAACACTTTGTAGTAGAAAAGCAGCAGAATGCTTCAAATAAAATGTCCCTGCCTCTGTTCCAGTCCAGCTTTGTGTTCCCTAAAGAACAGAACTAATAGAAATCAAGATTATTCTTTCCTCTACAACCACAGGACAAACTGCTGCCATGACTCTTTCACAGAGTCTCACACATATGCTAACTCAGTTCAACTCCTTTTGTTAGGTATCTTAACACTGCTTTCAAGCTTTACTGGTCAAGTTACTATTGCTGTTAACATTATTTATAGCTGCAGCCTTATCCTGAACCAGATGAAGCACCTGATGACCCTGCTGTGTTTCACAAATGCTTACTAGGTTGTTTACTCAAGACAAAGGAAAAAAAAACCCAGAAAAATACTAATGGAAAACTCTGAAATAAATATTTCCCAGTTTTTTACATCATTTTTACTTGAATATTGACATCACTTTTACTTCAGAGACTTCTGAGAATGAAAAAACACATAGTGCTTAAAGAAATGTTCCAATGTGCATTAAACAAAAGTTTTCAAGGAGTAAAACCATCTCCTTTCCCTTCCACCAGACAGTGCAATAAACCCCAAGAATCTATTTCTCATGCCACAAATGACTTTGCTCCTAAGGTCATTCTATTAGGATTGTCTGTGTAGACAGTTTGTTTCCCTCTTACCTGCAGCACTCTTGGGTACTATGGGCCAGGAAAGACTGGCACAGGGTGACCCAAGCCCAGGTCAAGGCAGGTGCTGGTGTGATAGCTATTTAATAGTGGATCTTTGTCTTTGAACACTAGAACATGTTAAGGGTGTTTGGCCAAGCTTGGAAAACTTTAAAACATCCCACCCTGCCCACCAAGAAATCTCAAATACATAGAAACTCTCCACTTTCCCAGGAGAACTTGATCTGTCAGCAGTTTTGCAGCCACCCTGGGTAAACGCCAGGTTCCCCAGTGGCAGGTAACAAAACGTCACAAAAATGGTAACACTAGTTCAGACTCCAACTCTGCCCTTCAATAAGAAAAAGCAAGAGTGGGGTAAGCAGAGATGACGCCTTTCATACTAATCCACCAACCTCCTGACTTTCTTGAGCTGAGAGTATTTTCTGCATCACTAAATGTTCCCAGTTTCTAAATACCTACTATGGTATTAGCCCTTAAAGGGGCCCTCCAGGCAGCCCTGCTACCATTCAAAATAAATAATGAGAAAAATGATTGCTGAATGCTGCCACAATGCACCGACACACTTGAGTAACCGCACACTCCTCTTGCTAGCAATGACACTTCAGACGCAAGGGGAACCCAAGCACCCACCTGAACACTGGCATCATGACTTCCCCTAACAGGAAGCAAACTGTAAGTCACCTCCATCACTCCCCACACTGGAAATGGCAGTGCCTTAGGACACCAATGCTGTTTGCAGTGAAGAGCATCCCAAACCAAACCATCATCAGAGACTCAGTGAAGGCCCTGCGCTAGGTGAAACAACAGCTCTGGAGGGCAATATGTCTTCTTCACTCTCTATGGCAGCAACTGGCAACTCTCCAAACCAGCAGTGCTCAGGTCTATTCTTCTCTCCATGCATGTGTAACTCCTGGTAAGTTATTATAACACAAAACATTTGTAAAGTGTCCTTCATAAAATGGTCCCAAGGAGATTTCTTATTCAGGCATAATTAAGGACGCAGTGAACACAATACTCTTCCTTTCAGAATTAACAGCAAAAGCAGATGGGCTGCTCCCTGTATCAATCCATATCAGACTGCATGTCAGGTCAGGGATGTAGGAAAGCTGCACTGGGAAAGGAAAAGCAGAACTGGGGGTGGTGGGGACAAGTTTGGGGATTCCCCTTCTCTGCTGACCCGATTCTTGTGGAAAAAAATAAAAATGCTTTGAGGTTAGTTCTGCATCTGAAAAATATCAACCAAAACAGAGCGATGTGGAACACAGAGGCCATGAGAGATAGCAAGGGGTAGAAGAGGCCTGAAGGAGAGCAGAGAAGGGATGGAGGAAACAATGATTACAAGAAACATCCTTGTTCCCTTGAGCCAGGGACAGCCTTGCTCTGTGGCCACTGCAGCAGGAGCACAGACAGACCCAACCTAGCTTTAATCTACCTTTAGAATGCCTTTAGCCTTAATCTAGCTTTAGTTCCCAAGCCAACAGCAAGGCCCTTGCTTTATCATGAATTTCCCAGTGTTATGGCTCCCAGCTCATCCCAGGGCCTCAGGTGGCTCAGAGAGGCTGCTATGACTACATAACTATTCATACCCTACATAAAAGTGAGCTTCAGTAGTACAAATGCTGCAGCCAAACCTCTGCTTGCACAGAGAGATACATCTCACCTGTTCTTTCAGGACCTGACACACAAGCATTGTGCATCTGACCTGCTTTACAGGGTTAAAAAAGGGGGTTCACAGGAAGCATCTTGCCCATGAAATGGCAAAGGCAGTAGGAAAGGAGCCAGAACACTGAAAGGGCTTAGAAACATACACAGAAAGAGTGAGAGTCACAGGCCTGAGGTTTTAAGAGGTCCTTAATCCTTCCAGAGAGTGGGAGTCTTGGTTTCTGTTGCTGTTGACACAAGGAGTGGGAAGAAAGGCTATTTACACCTTTTACTTAAGGTCATATGCGACTTCAGTCTCCAAGCACCGACATTTCAGTGCTTGTATTTCCTCTGCCCACAGAAGGTGACTCAGGGAGTGAGCTCAAATATTTTGCTCAGTGTAAACAAGCCGAGTGAGCTGAATTGATATGGGACCCCAAATATCCCCAGCGAGCACTCAGCAACACATATTTCAGGAGCAGGGATGAGAGGAGAGAGCTGGCATCTTATTCCTCCAGATTTCAAGGCTAAAAGAAACAGAGGCCCAGCCCCATCATAGAGAGAGGGACTGAGGCACTGAGAAACTAAGTGACACTACCAAGGTCAAACAGGACACCCATGGCAAAGGCAAGACTTCAAACCCAGAAGCCAGGTCTCACCCCTCCACCAGCCTCCTCTGCCTGGTGCAGCACATCCTATACTCACACGGGCCCTGCAAAAGACCAGACCATCTTTTTGGCCAAGCAGACAGCAAGATCTCTTTCATTTCCAAGACATGAAGGGAAAGAATGCTATTCTGAAAATCTTTACTGCCACCGGAGAATATAAAGTTCCTATCTCCTGGCTCAGTAGCTTGCCATCAAATCCCTCATCATCTCTAATGCAGTTAATGACTGAGGCTTTGTTGATACCCTGTACAACTCTGCAGTATACAACCTACCTACACCTCAGAAAAGCTATAGACATGTTACAGTGAGTGGAAGACTCAAGTGCAATACTTAATATCACACCTTAGCTTAGCTATGCCAGAAGGATGAGATTCCCCATAAGGAGATAAGTCTATCACCATCAGGAGAATTTATCATACTTATTATGACTAAATAAATTAACATAATATTATTATTATTGCGATAAATTATTTTTATTGAAGTAAACTGGGTCAGAAGACACGTACAAGCTAACACTAAATCAAGCAGCTCTTCAGAGGTGAGTGCTCGAGATCATGCTGAATTTATTGCATATAACCTAAAGAATCACAAGACTAAGACACCAGCACTAAAAATAAGCGCATGAAAAGCATCTATTCTAAAAGAAAAAACCTTAGCCAAGTGGTAAAAAAGAAAGCCATAGCTACATAATAATGTTTTATGTGACTGCTGATAACATATTAAGTATAAATTATTAGTAAGGTGGCACTACACATCCCATAATTTACTTCTTCATTTTTTTTGGACTCTTTCTTCCTCTGCTGCCCTTTCTCCACCTAAGAAACCAGTGATGCACACGCCTGGCAGTGCAATTCATTTAGGGATACCTTTGGAAGCCATTTTCCAGCCTTTGCTTCCAAACAGCTCCACAACTCCAGCAGTGTCAGATTAGTTAGGAAAGCCTTCCAACAGGAGGTCCTCAGTTTCTCTCTCATCCTTTCACCCATCAAGCCTTCACTGCCCTCTGCACCTTCCGGCCCGCTGGGCACCCCCGGGGTGGGCACTCACCCAAGGGAGGCCATGGCCCGAGTTTCCATGGCTTTTGGGAACCATCTAGTGGTCCTCAGCCGGATTGCAGCGGAGGACTCGGCAGGGCAGACAATACCTGCTGTATTCCCTCATTAGATCGGGACGAGGCCGCAGGCTATGGTGTCATTCTTGCCGAAGTTGGGCTCTTCAAAGCAAGCTGAGATGCCTGCTGTTTTCACTGCAGTGAATACCCCACGTCCCCATTCTTCCCCTGCCACTTCACACCCCAGTATCTGGACACGAGCTACAAGGCACACAGCTCCTCCATGGCAGCAAGACCCACAGTCCTAGAGACACCGACAGCTGCCTGAATGCCGAAGTCCACAAGACAAAGCCTGCTTGATGCTCACAGCCATTCCCGCCTTTAAAGCCACCACCTCACTCACCATCTAGGTAGGTTTTCTCGCTGTCCCTGTAACCTTAGACCCCGCACAAACACCATGCTGTCCCCTCAAAGGGGACAGAGGAGCATCGCTACACCAAGGTCTGGGGAGCCCTCGTGTCCAGCTGAGGAAACAACCCCACGGCGATACTCGGGAAAACAGACCAGCCTCCCCTTTGCACGGTAACGGGGTGGCCGCGTTAACGAGGCGTCACTAGCACAACGGGCTCAACCGGAGGAGTTTTCAGTTCATCTAATTTATTACCAATTAGCACCATATTCCGATGAGGCACTCACAAAGGGAGCATCCATCATTAACGCTTAATGAAGCGCCTTTCCATCCCCTCCCCGGGCTCAGCCCCACGGAGCTTCGCTCCCGCCTCGCCTCGGCCAGCCCCGGCTCCTCACCCCTCACGGACCGGCTCCTTACCGTGTGTCCACAGCAGCTCCGCGCCTCTCGGGGGTCCCTGCCCCAGCGGGTGAGCTCTCGGTGCGGGGGGACTGCTCCGGTGTTGGCCGGTACTGGATACGGCCCCTCAGGGGCCATCCCCGCCGGTGTCCCTGCCCCGTCGCTGCCGCGGCTCCGGCCGGCCCCGACCACCTCCTCGGCGCCGGCTCCCCTCAGTCTTTCCCCGCACTCCTCCCCTCAGGCGGTCAAAGGCGGCCGGAACCGATTCCAACCGGCCCGAGGCGGTTGCCGCCGCCTCCTGCTCACACACAGGTGCTGTGCGGGGCTTTCCGGCCGCCATTTCGCAGCCACAGACCTAGGGAAGCACCTTTACAGGCCTCTGGGCTTTTAATGCTTTTTGCTGTTGCTGATGGTCCGAATGAGCAACAGGTTGGAAGTGTGAGTGTTTTCCTGGTGGACCCCATTGAGAGAAAGAGCTCAAGTGGGCTTAGTTTACACACGATCGTGTAATCACAGATGTGTGGGTTGGAAGGGATAAAGCTCATCCAGTTCCAACCCCCGAGATAGCTTGAGGTGTAGGGTATAATTCAGGTGCAAAGCCGTCACTGGGGTGAGAAGTGCTGTAATTCTTCAGCCTGCTTGGCAGGGATGGAAGATGTACAGTGGGAAAACCAAAGACATGAAAAGCACTGGGGTGGTTTGGGTGCCTCTTTCATGGGACCCAAATTGCAGAAGAAGCTGTGGCATTTGCTCACAATGGTGGTACCTCTGAGGTGGTGTCAAAACGTCCTCATGGCGGAGGGGAGGGATAATCCCATGGGATCTCCGGAGGTGGCCTGTGCCCACCTCCCGCTCGGAGGCATTCAGCTGAGGCTGTGTTGCTCAGGCTTTGCCTGGTTGGGGCTGGAAGTTGCTTCAAGATAAAGATGTTCACGGCTAAAATGAACTGTTGGAAAAGCACAAGAAACGGGCTGATCCAAAGTTAGTTTTGCCCCTTTGCATTCAATTCCCTGGAGCTTCCCAGAAGAGTGCGTTGTTCCAGGGGGATTAGTTTCCCTGCTTTGGAGAGGAAAGAGGAGGATTTTAATGGGCCAGAAAATCTCTTTTCCAGCCGGTCCCACTTCTGGTAGGGGCTGGGCATCGTGTAGGAGTGACCCAACACCAACTGAATGCCTGCAGGTGGTTTATAGTGAGGGTGCTGGATCTGCCCTTGGAAGCTGCAGGGCTCTGCTGCCACCCAGGGCTCTGCTCAGCTCCTAGCACTCCCCATCCTCTGGGAGCCTGCAGGATGCAAAGCAAAGGAATAAAACTGCTGCCTCTTCCAGTCTCCTTTAATGGTTTTCTTTGGCTGAGATGACTTACAGCCCGCAGTGGGTGTGCCAGGCAGCAGTCTTAAACACTGAGCTGAAGGAGGTGTGCTGCTCCGTGGACAGCCCAGCTGCTCTCTGCTCCGGGGTTACCATGAGCACATGAACGTTCTGGCTTCTTGGGCCTGAGCACCTTGGTGAACAGACACGGCTCAGGGCAGCTCTGTCCTGTCCTGAGGATGCTCAGCCAAATCCAGATGCTGGATCAGAAGAGCCAGAATCTCATCTCACATGCTGTGCTACTGTTATAACTGTGGAAGTGTTCAGGGCCAGGTTGAATGGGGCTTTGAGCAACCTGGTCTAGTGGAAGGTGTCCATGCCTGTGGCAGAGGGTCCCTTCCAACCCAACCCGTTTTATGATTACGTGATAGTATATGAAGGCCCAGCTGTGATCAGAGATATTTTATGCCAGATGCTATCTGCATTTATACACAGTGACATGATAATTTCCACCTTGAAGACTTCAAAAGACAGTGAGACGCAGTGTCATATCGTGCAGTACCAATATACTGGGAAGAAGTTGCATTGGTCCTCTTCTTAGAGACCAGGGATTCTCTGTACTGAATTAACACTTCGGAGGAGTAAACATGGGGAGGCAATACCATTCATCTTAGCAGCTTCTCACTAACCATGTACAAAATCCCATTGAAAGTGGGCACGGCCAGGGAAAAAGAGGTAGTACACAATGTACAGGGCATGGACACACAATAACACAGGGCATGGGACAAATCACCAGACCTGGACAGTGTCAAAGACATGTTCTGTGAAAGCCTATTCTTAACAGGAGGAACTTTCTTCTTTGAATGTAACTTTGGAGGAGTTCTTTGCAGCCAGTACAAAAGCAACTGTCCTTAAGCTGCAAAGCTGCCTAGAGGTCTTGCACATTGTATTTATAGCTTCTAACCCCATGGCTAGTCATCCTGCAAAGCATCTGTCTTAAAAACAAGTGGAGGAGTTTGGAAGGAGCTTTGAGTTGAATTCCCAGCTGTTTCACAGGGTGCTGCATTTCTTCTTAAATCTTCAAAGGTAAGAAGTGGGTGACCCCATTAGACTTCAAGAGATGATGCAAACTCTTCTCCCCATAGTCAACCTGACCTGAAGCTCAATTCTTTTGGAGGATTGGAGAGGTTCAGATCATCTTTTCCCCTTCACATTCCTCATGCTTCCAAAGAGCAGTACTGAAGCACAAACCTGGGAAAAAGATGCCTGCATTTACCTTTAACTGCTGGCAAAGACCAGCTCTGTAGCTTCCTTCCAGTCCCAGAGGCAAAGGGAGGAAGGGTTGTCGTCTCCTGGGCCTGCCCAGCGGAGATCCCCCTTTCTCAGATGGAGAAATGTCTCTAAAAGTTGTAAGGAGGTTCCACCCTTCAGCTATGAGGAGATAGGGAGGTCCTGCCCTTGGGCAGGGGGTGCAGGGAGCAGTGTCAGCACATCCCTCTGTGCACAGGGCAAGGGATTAAGGGTCTTCCTGTAAAGAAAAGCCCCTCTCCAGGCTGTGTCCAGGGTAAAAACACTGAATCAGAATCCCAGATTGCTTTGGATTGGAAGGGACCTTAAAACTCATCCAGTTCTAACCCCCTGCCACGGGCAGGGACACCTTCCACGAGAGCAGGTTGCTCCAATCCGTGTCCAGCCTGGCCTTGAACACTGCCAGGGATGGGGCAGCCTCTGCAGGGTACCTAGAGCTCCGAGGGGGAAAGTGCATCCAGATGTTTGTCTCTGGTGTGGGGGGAAAATTGGTGTATCCTTAAACAGCCAGTCAACAGCTGTGGCTGGTTTGTAAGCTCCAAAGAGCTAACAAACATGATCAGTGGCTGTGTTAATGACATCTGAGGCAAACTAGTTATGCTGTAGTGAGGACTAGGGAGCTGGAAAGCTTCCAGGAAGACACAACCCCGCTGAGCAGAGGTCCTGGGCAAACAAGCTGATGTTACCAAAAAGATCCCACAAAGCTTGTTAGAGTCACCCAGCCTCCAGCGCTTTGACTGCCACAGCCCATTGTTCTGTGAGATGGATTAAAACCCTCGTGTCCCAGAGCATCAGCATCATACCAAAGCAGAGAGGCTTTTGCCCAAAGAAGAAATGGAAAACGTAACTGATATTTTGCCTCTTTGGGAACTTTTGTGAGTGGTTTTTTGGCTGCATTTCATAAACACTTTTCGATCCAGGGCTGTGAAGTTACACGTGGTGAGTGATGTGTTTGTGGCTGTTCAGGCTGCAGTCTGCACCAAATGTTAATTGAATCCTGTGGTCCCTCGCATGCCCTTGCAACACCAGCAACAGAAGCATGTGGCAGAGCCAGCAGAGGTGCATCAGAGCCCTGGGTCCAGCAGCAATTAAAAAGAGGAAGGGAGGGAGGGAAGGGAAAAAGCCAATTACTTGTAATTGGATTCAGTAAACTGAATTATCTCACTATTAAAGCAGTGCTTGTTTTTGAGATAGTGGGACATTCAGACTATCAAAAGCATTAATTGATTCATCCCTTTTTTCAAGTGCTTTCTCAACAGTACCTCTATTCGAGAGCTGCAACCTTTTGTTCGCCTGGGGAATGTGAATTATACAGACCATGTTTATATCTTGGTGGCTCTATTCATTCTGACTTTTTTGTCATGTTGGTGTTTTAACTCAAAAATGAGCTGACACTCCTGCAAAACATAATGGAAGGTTTATTTCTTCTTTTGTGATGCCTTCAGTGCTGCTAGAGGTGTAATTTAACCAGGGAGAAAGGGAGAGGAATGTTTGGAGTCTCAGTCATTCAGGCCTCAGACCTGGGAGCTAGGTAGATGGGTGGGAAGGCAAGAGAAACTAGAAGCCTTCTCTGTGGTGGTGTGCAGCTTGGCACATGCGTGTTCTCCACAATGCCAGGGCTACACTAAGGCAGACTCTTTTCCCTATGCCCTCTACAGCTAACTTTCAATGAAGGATGGTCAATGCCCAAGGATTTCTGGGCCACAGCTGACCCCAAGGGCTCAGAGCAGTGGAAGAAGGAGATCCTTATGCCCATTGTCAGTCACCAAAGAGGGGGTGTCTCCATTGGCAGGGAGAAATGTGCCTACATGGTACATTTGTCACTGTACCCGACTGAGGACAAGGTCCCTACATCTTTCTTTCTGCCTTACTAAGTGGATACTGAATGCTGGGAAAGGCAGCATGAGAATAAGTCAGCTCCAATGAGTTATTCAGGCAAATTGAAGGCATTATGTCAATGTGATGGGCAGCGTTTCAGGCCAGAACGGTACTATTGGCATTTTCTTCCCTCTGAATCAATAACTCCTAAAGGATTACAATTTAATTTTTAAAGGGTAATTCAATCAAGCATTTGAAAACAGAGGCCAGTCTTAAAATTAAACTTTAATCACATTTATTTATTTTTAAAAATTGTACTTGCAGAGAAAGAAGAGCCATTTCTGAACAGTCCTTCACCTTGGGCTTAAAGGGGAAGGTTTTTCTTATATCCCTGGTAGGAATCCGTCCCTTTGCTTACCTTCAGTTGCTCTTGTCTATTGCCAGTTCAGACATGTTTCCATTAATGCCCTGAGGAGACACCTTCCAGAAAACCCAAAGATGTGGCTCAGTTTTTCATTGGTGACTGCCACCAGCATCAACTGATTTCTCTGCATCTGAGACTCCCCACAGAAGTGGGACTGTCTGCCAGAAAAGCCCATTTGTTATGTGACAGGATTCCTCTCTTTTCTACTGCCTCTTTGTCT